AATATATTAAAATTGAATTTCACCTGTTTCTTACTTATTTGTTATGGTTACTAGAAAATTTTAAATCACCTATGGGGCTTGCATTACATTTCTATTGGACAGCACTGGTAGAGACAATTCTTTGAAGAAGTTTTGCTAAAAAGGGAAGCAGAGAGCTGAAGCCACTGACCAGATGTACCTATGTCAGTGATTACCCAACTTTTTCTATTCATGAACAGTTTTGCCTGGGCCAGATACCCACACACATCACCTACACCACCACACAGCACCCCACACATAGCCTCTTCTTAGACTCTGAACTTTCCGAGAGGGGATCAAAACATTCCATATTTTGACTTGGGTAATGGTTACACTAGCATAGTTAGATGTAAAATTTCATTGAGCTATACACTTAAGATTTGTGCATCTTAACTATAAGTAGATTAAATCTAAAAAAAGAAAAAAAAGTGAAACGTCTGGATGATGGGATGTGTGTTTGGATTAAAAGTACGAGAAGATCTGTAGCATCTCAGAGTTGATGGGGACTCAGAGGTGAGCAGTCCCATCTCCAGCCTTTTCCGACCTGGCACACACAGTGCTGGACCCGCATCCCGTGGGCCCGTCTCCCACACCAGGGCTGTAAAGCCAGCTCGGGGCTTCACCCGGTTCAGACCACCTGCTCTCTCTGGGAGCCCCCAGTTTGCCCTCCAAGAAAGAATGTGAAGCGTGGGAAACGCTCTGCAGGGGGCCACCATGGCTCCGTGGAGGAGACAATACCAACAATGGGCAACAAAAGCCCCCTTCAGAAGAGAAGGCTGGCCTTTGAGGGCCGCGGTCCACTTCAACCAAGCTGAGCGGGCTGGCCGAGAACCTGCCAAGGAAGGAGAACAAAGGAGGAGGCTGCTGAATGGTGGTTTCGCCAGGCCAGCCCGAGCCCCCCCTTCCTTCCCCCAGACCCACCTGCTCATCTCTTTCCTCCGCCTGTCCCAACAAAAGCAAAGACTGAGGGCTCTCTCAACTTCCAATGAGTTTTTCAAATGAAATAACGAGCACTGGGCCCCGCTGCTACTTGTGGTTTTCGAGGTGAATGCCGTTATAAAGGAAAAGACCGTGATGGCAACAATTCCGATGCTTTATCTCCATTAACTATGACACTAATGGCAGCTTACAGGACTTAAACCCTCCCCACAGAGGGACTGGGAGCTTCCCATTCCTTTGGGGGGTCCCACTTAAGATGGAGTGCTATTATTTTTTTTCCCCTAAAGAAATGCTCTAATCAATGGGGGACTTGTTGCTTATGATAATCCCTTATGTTTATATTAAAATTCACAAAGGGGTTTCCCATCCATTGCTTCATGTGCTCCCTACCACAGCCCTTGGGGGAGGGCAGAGCAGAGGTAAGAGGTCCTACAGCCCGGAGGGGGCAAAGCTCGTAACAGACTCCTGATTCCAGGACAGTGCTCCTGTATTGTTTCAAGCCTCCAGGCCCTCCAGGAAATGACAGCTGGGGAAGCAAGTGAATTCGACCAACCAACAAAGAAACGTGGACCTGGTACAAACTGCTTACTGGGCTCCTGTCAACGACACACAGGAAATAGCAATGGTAATATCTATACTAATCCAAGAAAACTCTGAGTCAATGTCAGTGCCAGGCACTGTAGTCTGTGTTTTGGATGTGACCTCATTTAATCCTTATAAAGCCCTCAGAGGTATTATCCCATTTTTACCGATAAGAAACTAAGGCTCAGGGGGTTGAAGAAAGGTCAGTTGGACTCTGACCTGCTGTGCTGAGTACTCTTTATAGAGAAAGCAAGGCCAGGCACTACTGTGGTGTCAAATGAAAACCAGAGCTGCACAGCAGTTAAAGAGGTAAAAACAGATTTTATTCAGGACTTCTGCAATAGGGGGAAAGAGACCTCATATAGAAGTGAGCTCAATTCTGAATACAGCATGGTCTAGTGGGAACTGACAGCCAAGGAGCAGGGTGGGGAACAGTGGATGGAAACTTACCAAGAAGATACATCAGGGGTAAGGGGATTCTAGTTAAGCTGACCTAACAGGATTCTGGCTGAAGATAGGCCAGGAAGATCAGACATCACCTGGGTGATGGTGGAGGGTGAGGAATCTGACCACATATCAGGGTGATCAGACATGGAGGTGGGAGGGTCTGGTTAAACTGCTTAGAAGGGTTCTTGCTAAAACTAGATTTTAAAAGAAAGAGTACAGATGGGCGTAGGAGAAATTTCAGGATCCTGACTAAAGTTTGGTCAAGCAAAGGATCTTTGCTAGTAGCAAATAATTTGAGCAACAAATCCAGTGGATTTCATTAGGCCTGTTCTCAACTACAGCCTCCCCAGACCTACCATGAGGCTACAAGCAGGCGGACTCTCTCCCGCAGCCTTCAAGAGGCTTCTCCCAGTGGGTAGGGCCAGAAAGACAGCATACGAGCTGTTTCTGCCTCTGCTGTATCTCAGCATAAAATTCAAGTTCCCTTAATTTGCTGTCAGTCTGAAAATAAAATCTATCCCCTTTACCACGGCCCTTAAAATCCATATTTGTTATGGCTTCCAAGGATACTCTCTTCCTTGCGAGCTCCGCCCTAGTTACTCTGGCCTGCTTTCAGTTCAGATACGCCAAGCTCTTGCCTCAAGAACCTTTGCGTATGTTGCTGCTCTGCCTAGAATGTTCTTCCCCAGCTCTGCAAAGACTGCCTCTTTTCCTTCGATTGTCAGCTTAGCCTTCCCAACCCCTCTAGATAAATATTCCTTTTCAGATTTGTGATTACTCTGCTCCCTTTCCCTTGTCCCCTCTGGGATATAAGTGAACCAAGGGCAGGGAACAATCTGTCTTGCTCACTGCCACAGCTGGACCAAGCACAGAGCCTGGCATGTAGCAAACGTCTGCTGTGCTTTATTCTCCAGCTCCTCTAGGTCTGCAGGCCAGCCCTGAACCGGCCATGGCGCCCCGAGCCCTGCCAGCCCCTGCTCTAGGAAGCTGTTTCCTGATCTCCTGCCCTCCAGCCACTGCACTTCTATGCTCAGGCCCTACTGCCCTTCTCTACACCTCTGTCCAGCAGGCCTCAACCAATCTGTCTTCCAGAACTATACAGGTCTGGTTACAGGTGCGACAGTACCAGGTGGGTGGGTCTCCTGTTCTCCTCCCTTCCCCACTACTCTGAGCCGCTGAGGTCCCAGCACCCATAAGCAGGGACACTAGGAGCCACCCAACAGCAGTTGGAGACCAACATCACCTTTTCCCATCAGGGCGGGATAAGAAGCTAAAATTTAAAAGCAAGGCTTTCAGTCATACGTCTACAGGAGCCAGGCAGGTACCAATCGCGCGAAGTTGGTGGGAGGACCGATGCCAGAGTAGGCGGAACCCGTGGGGGCAGGACTGTGGCAGACTGGAGAGTGCAGGCCCAACCCAAAGGCAGCAGATGCTATTCAGCTTCAGCTGATTGTTGTCATACAGGAATCAGGCCCAATGTTGCCGGCTCTGATTTTCTTTTTCCAGAGAATCCCAAACCCCCAATTGGATTTTTTTAAAATAAATTTATTTATTTTACTTATTTTTATCTTTGGCTGCACTGGGTCTTCGTGGCTGCACACAGGCTTTCTCTAGTTGCGACGAGCGGGGGCTAATCTTTGCTGCAGTGCGTGGGCTACTCATTGCGGTGGCTTCTCTTGTTGAGGAGCATGGGCTCTAGGTGTGCGGGCTTCAGTGGTTGTGGCCTGCGGGCTCAGTAGTTGTGGCTCGCGGGCTTAGCTGCTCCGTGGCATGTGGGATCCTCCCAGACCAGGGCTCAAACCCGTGTCCCCTGCACTGGCAGGCGGATTCTTAACCACTGTGCCACCAGGGAAGTCCCCAAATTGGATTTTTATATGAATTTTCTCAATTTGTAAATGTTAGCAACTAACTCAATTTAAAAAAACCAAAGAACACTATGGATCAAATAAAACATGGGCCACCGGTTTGCAACCTCTGGGAAAGGTGAGGTCTCCTTCCTATCTTAGAGGCACCCCTGTTATTGCCCGTATCAACCGCTCCCCTGCAGAGTCCCATTCAGAACCAGCCAAAGTTCCAGAATCTCCTTTCCTCTTTCCCCAGTTAAAATCCCCATTTTGAAGGGGCAAGTCCAGCTACGCTGGAAAGCAATCTGATTAAAATAATTTCTACCCCCCAAACTCAATAAATACTCCTAGGATTACCTGCCTTTCAAAAGTTATCTACTATTATGTTTCAATTAATAGAAGTAGAGGCAATGAGCCAAAGTACGTAACTATGGGCCAATTAGGACAGATGCCAAACACTGAGCCAAGCACTTCAGATTCATGAAACTCTTTCAGCCATATGAGGAGGCACTGTATTATCTTCTACGGAAGAAAAAAAAGGAGGCTTAGAGACATTAAGCCACTTGCCCAAAGTCCTTCAGCGTGTAAGTGGTAACAGTAGGCTTGCCCAACACTGAAGTCTGCACACATAAACACACTGCTCAATATTACTTCTCTAAGTGATATCGTATAACCTCCACGTAATGGTCATCCCGGGCACAACTTCCAAAGGGGCATTCTTGAGATGCATGTGTCCCTCTAAGAACCTAAGATAGCTCATGGGCTCAGCCTTCTTTTAAGATAATCCCTTCCCTTCCCCACTGCACACCAAGACCAAACTTTCAAGGCAAAAGCAGGGGGGTCTTCAGATATCGACAGGACATAGTTGGTACCCAGTGCTGGAGAGGAAGAAAGGATGCTGGCTTTTCCAGGTAATCCTCAGCTCTGCTAAGAAAGAGGTGACGGGGGCATGAGTCCGATCCCTGGTCGGGGAACTAAACTCCCACATGCTATGCTATGCGGCAAAAAAAAAAAAAAAAAGAAAGAAAGAAAGAGGTGAGAAGGACCAACGTAAAACGTCCTGGAGAAACACCCCGGCCACTGTGTCAAGCATACTTCCCAACGAAGGCCTCATGTTATGTGCCCTGGGAATCCAATCAGCCCCAAAGTACCGGAAGAAACTCTCTGGTCTTCATTCCTATTATTCTCTTTATTCCATAACAGATTAATTACAGATTTCAACTTTTCAATGCAACATGTGGGTAAGTTAGAATATTCACAGCATCTTGCTAGGGCACCATGCCACAGAAACAGAGTATCTGGGCTCACAGGTACCTGCTCTGTGTTGGGGAAATAGAAAAACAAGCAAAACGATTTTGACTTTTTTCTTTTTAAATAAAGGGTTTTTTTCATTCCTCTTCTCAAACTATGAATTATTCTTGACTCCTTCTCTTGATATTCACTTAAGCTTTCAGAATCTCCTTCTTTTTCCTGGAACTAATGTGCTGTTCTGAAAGAAAATGGAGACAAACACAAAATTATTGAATATTTCAATTCAGTGTTGCAGCTCCTAACTGGTGACAACAGAGAGACCAAGGTACTAGGAGATCCCATTTATAAGGGAACAATCATTCATCTATTTTTTTTCATTCATCTATTAATTCTATTTATTTATGCCCCATCTCATTTCACAAAAGAATATAAGATAGCTCGAACTGAAGCTGACAACATCTTAAATAAACAATGAAACACACCTGATGATACCTAAGTAAGTGTGGTATGTGAAAACACAAGATGAGGTAATTCCAGGCACACCTCTCACAGTACAAGGCCAAAAAGACACTGTACATTTCAACTAGATGAATAGAAGAACGCTCGTCTTCAATTTCCCGGACTCCAGGTCTGCCAAACAACACATGCCCTCACGTAGCTTGGAAGATGACATTCTGACCTTTCGGTACAGAAATCTGCACCATATTCCTATCGTGTGGTCATGTTCTTGTCAGTGATCAGACTCGATGTCTAAACTTAAGAAAGAATGATTCTCAGAAACTGGACTCAGCTCACAGAAAAAGTTTGAGGGGATAAACACTAACTCTCTTTATTCCTTCTTTCTCCACAGCTGCCCCCCCTAGACTCCAGGAAGTGACGGGGAAACACAAGAAGGGAAGTGACTGTCTGGACAGACACTGTGCAGCCAGAGGATGACAGCACCAAGTAAGTGATTCAGATGGTTCTGGTGAGCAGAAGCAAGGTGCTCACACACAGGCCGTCCTCAGCAGGCAGCTGTCCCCAGTGGTGAGGGCTGATGTGATGACAAGGCGGTCTTGCAGAATGGCAGGCTCCAAACCAATTAATCAACAGTTCCAAGGGGCACGCATGCACAGGCATGACTCATCCTGAGGGCCAAAGTGAGTGCCCCTAATTCTCTGCCAGCGTTCAGAGGTTCCCAGGTGTGTGTTCCAGGAATTCCCTGGCGGTCCAGTAGTTAGGACTCCGAGCTTCCACTGCAGGGGGCACAGGTTCGATCCCTGGTCGGGGAACTAAGATCCCACAAGCCACGTGGGGCGGCCAAAAAAGAAAAAAAAAGTATGTGTGTTTCGAAACGTTCATGCAGAGAGGACAGCGTTAATTATGAAATAAGAACAGCAGAAAGGGTGGTGACCCACAAGCCTCCATCTTAGCTAAGAAATTAGCCCTCTGTTACGCCTGATCAAATCAATACCTGTTCTCAGATCAAAAACACTTGGCTACTAGGGACTTTCCTCTAAAAGACAAGGTCCCAACCTCAGGAAGTCCCAAATGTCCAAATGATCAAGTGACTTTCCTCTTTCTCAAGCAGTATGGTTTGGGGGTAGCAGGGGGGCAGACTATCTAAAAATCAAGAAAAACAAAACGAATCCAGTTAGTTTTAAAGAATTAAAGAGCTCAATACTTAGCAGAAGGGACTAGTTCTGAAAACAAATCTCAGCGAGAGCAACTGTAATTCAGGACAAAACCAAATGGATAAGGCTAAGGAATGGCGGGTGGGGAGAAGGGACAGACCACAAAGAGACATAGGAGCTCACTGGAATGTGGAAATAAGTTTGTACCTTGGCTGAGGTAGTGTCTACTACATCTTTCAAGATTCACAGAATTGTACACTAACAAGGGTGAATTTTACTGTATATGAATTAATCCTGAAAAAACAAAACCAAAACAAATGTAGTCGCTTTCTGAGCAAGTCGTCTCTGAGCAAGCCTGTGTTGAGAACTAGATGTTCCAGCTTATGTTCACACATCAGTGAAAAAGGCTCTACATTCTATGCTTTTGTTGATTTCTCCTATTTTCAGAGGAGTGAAAATTAGATGGCTTTGTTGCTTTGGCAGGGAAAGCCATTTCCATGGCAAAGGACGAGAGGGAACATGACTTGAAAACTCAAATACCTCCCTCCTCTTTGTTGGCCTAGTACAGGGGTCAACAAACTGTGCCCCACAGGCCAGATGCAGCCCACCACCTGCTTCTGTAAACAAAGTTTCATTGGAACATGGCCATGCGGGTTTGTTTACGTGGTCTATGGCTGCTCTCACATTATAGTGGCAGAGTTGAGTAGTTGTAACAGAGACCGTATGGCCTGCAAAGCCTAAGTACTATCTGGCTCTTTCTAGAAAACTTCTGCCAATCCTTGGTCTAAAGGAGCTGATCAGTGAAGCATCAGACACTCTCTTCTCCTTCCCTCCCTTCACCTTCCTCCACTCCCATCCTCATCCTAGGACTGACACAATGGAGAACAGGTGATATTTCACTTGACATTTTAGTCACACAGGGAGCTGCCCTGAACCATATGTCCTGAGCTCTAGGAACCTGGGTTTTGATGATGCTGGCTTTGATATGTGGCCATCAGTCTTCAAAATTTAGCGTCTCACCAAACCACACTGTTTGGCCCAATCAGAGGTTAATATTACAAAAAGGCCTAGAACAGTGACAAGGTGTGCCAGGATTTGCCATGGGACCATCATTTAATGAATTTAGATGTCCTGAATGGGGGGGGGGTGTCCCCTTTTAAGAAGTCCAAGGTTGAATCTGTCTATCCTCAACTCTGTTCTCCTCTGAATACAGAGAGGGGCTGTGTCTATAAAGTACCCCGTGGGACACACGGGAGGATGGAGCCTTACAGTCGAAGCCAGGTCAGAGCTGCTCTGCTGCAGTTACCATCAGCTGGGCTAACTCAGGGGGCTTTGGCTTTTGCCCTGGTCCAGTTACAGCTTGGTCCAGGAAGTGGGGAAATGGCCTCAGAATTCAGCTTCGGCTTAGGGAGGGATGGGGAGGAACAAGTGTGCTGAAAATCAGATAAATAACTGACATGCATGAGGTGGGCAAGATGGAAAGGGGCCCTGCTCCTGGGATGAGTCGCCCTTCATCTTTACCGTAGTGTCCTATATTTTGCCAATCTACTGCTCTGCTCTGCAGCGATCCTGCCAAAGGAAAGAGGGTTTGAGAGTCAAGAAAGGACAGTAAGAAGAGAAATAAGCTGAGGAAAGAAATGGCAAACACCCGACCAGAGCTTCTGTTAGAGTCATCGTTTTCCCCAGGGGCAGAGCTTGCTCTAGGACTCAGGAAGACGGCAACAGAGTGGGCTGTGACTTTCTATATAGAATGGAGGGTGGGATGAGAACCATGGTCTTCCTCCCCAGAAAGTGTACACAATGTTAGCCTTCCAGACTAGGAACTCCCGCTGAGCAGGACCTAAATCAAACGGTTTCCACTCCCATCTCTCCTTAATCTTGTTCATCTTGTGTGGGCAACTTCCAGAAAAGAGTGAACTCAGCAGAGGACAGCCTTTTGGCTCCCTGGGGCCTGGACGGGCTGCTCTGAGGGAACAGGGCTCTGCTCAGAGAAAACAGCTGAGTCCTGGCTCTTTCTCAGATGCAGTGCAGAGCCACCAAGTTCAGGCTGCTGGAGGGGCAGAGAAGTGAGCCAGTGGCCACTGCTGGTGCTAAGGGAAGCTCTAGCGGAATCTGGACGGCCACAGGCGGGGCAGGGAGCATGCTGGGGCCGGTATCCACGGTGAGGCACTCAGAGAGCTCTATGGAGTCTCAGGCAGGGAGGAGACGTGGGACTCTCCCGCCCATAACAGTCTCTGAGCAAGTCTCTCTCTGATCTGACCAACTTAACTGGCAGCCGCACGGTGGGGGCTAACACTATTGTGTTACATTCTTCCACCAAAAGTCCTGGAGAGGAGAAAGTAGGGCACGTCTGAAATTGTGAACTTCCAAAGGTGAAAGCAATTCTGACCTTTTCTTATTGACCTTTATGTGGCTGAAATCACCCAAGTTCTAATAAAGTTAAATCAATGAGAAATACCTACGTGACATTTAAATTTGCTTCTAAGCCAGCTTCTAAAGTCAAGCTGCCAGCAAGCTGCCATTGCGGGGGGACCTGACCATTTGTGTGAACCTAAGTTTGTCTGGTTCTTGGGGACGTGATGCGGGCCACTGAGCAGTGCTCCCTGCTGGGGGCCTCTGTAAAGCCCGACGTGGTTTCTGGGGGGAAGATCATGGACCTCATACTTAGGAGGAAGAGCTCCGGGAGGCTGTGGTGGTTACAGAAGAGTCCTCCTCGGGGGTGCGGGAGGAGGGCAGAAAAGGGTTTTCTGCGGCAGCAGAGGAGAAAACTGTTATACAGCCAGCACACTAACAACAACCTTCTGCCACCTGTCCTAACCCATTTTAATCTTCATAAAGCAATTATTTTCTTCTCTCGTTTCAATGTGCCGGGGCATAAACTGTTGTGGTTTTAACGTATTTAAAACTTATCACCAAGGCTCTTTTCTGATTTAAAAGGCTTCTGTATCGGGCTGGATTAAGGTGTCACGCTGGCCCCTAAGGACATGAATCATTTTGCCACATACCGCTGTTCAAAGAGCTGGGTGGACAGAGCTGACAACAGTATTTCTAATCCCACTCTGGGTCCCTGGCCCACCCCCAACCTTACCTCTTGATTGCCTGCTGGGCCAGCATGCGATTGCCAGCCAGAAACGTCACACTGCCCAAGATGGCCAGGTACTTCAGGGTCTGGAACATGTTGAGTTGCGTCCAGTAGACATACATGAGCCCCAGCATAGCTACGAGAACAGGCGTCATGATAGCCAATTAAGTCAAACAGTGACATTGCCCTGGGCAGAGGACAGTTAGAAGCCAGTAACTGCAGATCCTAAGAGGTCTGTATTTATAGACAGCATGTTTTATTCCCTTTATCTGATGCCAGAAAATAAACAGCTCAATATACTTGCTTCTCAGCCCTGGCTACCAAGAAATCCACAGGTAAAAACCAGATCTCAGCAACTTGGTTCCATATTCCAGCTCGCATCTTTGTTCTTTAACGCAGGTTTTGTTGTTGTTTGTTTTTTAAGTTATGTCATGTTATATTTGGGATTCAGTTGATTTTTTAAATTCTGGATGAAAGCCCATAGGATTAAAGAAATGAATCATTTTTCTTTTCATTAAAAAAATTTTTAGGGCTAATTTGCCACTGTGACTAGGAAGGAAGCAAGGAGGACAGAGGAGGAAGGTTTAGTCAATAGGGCTCAGGTCTGGGCACTGAGGACCCTGGGTTCTGGCCCAGGCTCTGCCCTTCACAGCCACTTAATTTCTCTGAGCCTAAATTCTCTCACCCATCAAACAAGGAGCATAATTCCTACCCTGGTCGCTCCCATCAGGGTTGTGATGAGAATCAAATGAGGGAATGTACACAAAAAGCACTCTGGCAAAAAAAGTCATGGCTCTAAACAAATTTATATTCAGGTTTTGTTCTCAGCCTGACCTGGGAGGGCCATCACTCAAATTCAGTTAACTGGGCTGGAGAGAAAGGTCTTCCTGTCAATTCTGCCCAGAAGGATGACAGATGAACTACAGCAGGGGTTCTTAGCCCTTTCTGAGGTCATGGACCACTGTCAGACTTTTGATCAAAGTTACAGACTCTCTCTTTCCCCAGGAAAACAGAGATACAAATTTGCCTAGAGTTTCAAGGGATTCGTCTGTGGACCCCTACAGAATCAGCACACTATGGACACAAAGAGGGTGACTCCTGAAAGAGTCAAAGAAATCAGAAAAGAATATTAATGTCTCAGTGAAATGCAAGGGTCACCAATTCAATAGTATCGAAAGTTTCTGAAACGCCTAACTGATTTGTGAATTTACTGTCTTGTAACAGTTAGGTCCTAAGTTTTCAAGAGAACAATGCAGGACAGCATGTCTGACTGTGGAAGGGACTGTTTTCTACTACAGTCCAGACACAGCCGCTAGCAAATGTGAAGATCAATACGTTGGGGGAAGATAACCGTTGGAAACTGCATTAATGCTGTTCACTCAGGAAGATGGCTCAATGTAAAGATACAATAAGTGAGTAATCTCTGGAAATGAACAGAGCTATTAAATGAAGGTAAAACGGCCTGCCAATGGCAGCCTAGTACAATGAAACCCAATATAATGACAGCTGTTCTAAGTTGATGGGCCAAACAGGTTTATCATCATATTAACTGTCGTAAAAGGCCACGAGGAAGAGGGAAATGTTATGCTATTAAGTCATTATAGTTAATAGGCTGTGGGTCTACTTAACAGGGCTTTTGCGTGGGCAGGCAAAATGTCAAAGGAGGTTAAATGGAATTAGCAGCCTGGGGCGCTTACCAGCATGTCCCAGGTGAAAGGTAATCGTGCTAGGAGCAAAAGTGAAGTTGGAGACGTTGGCACCAATCCGGATCCACTGAACGATGGGGAGAGATAAATTAAAAAGACGTTAGAACTTGAAAGGGAGGCAACACATGCCATGCCAATGCTAATCCAATAAACAGCCCTAAGGGCTTAAAAGTTCATGCGTACCTGAAGAACAGGGAATTTTTCCAAGTGACGACCACCCTATTGTAAGTCCTCAGAAAAAACTGTTCTCTTTTTTCTTTAGAAAGGCATTCCAACACCTGCTCTCAAATGCGCTTGGGTAACTCAAACCTGAACATCATTTTTAATGACAGCAAACTTTTCTATTTTAAAACAGGTGAAACCATGAGGCTGAAAGGTCAGAACCTGTATTTGTGATGAAGTAACTGGCACCCCTGCTAATTTCTCTAAGTATTGGTGAGATAAACCCACCAGCAGTTGGGAGGATGCACACGCTCTTGCTGTGGGTTCCATGCTTTTTGAAATTCTGATCACTCAAAAGAACAGGTGCCCATATCCTAGGTCTGGTTTCTGAAAGCTTGTGGCATGCCTTCCAGATTTAGATTGACCAATAATTCTTTTATTAAAATCAATGAATGAATTATGAACACAAGCAACTTTCCAAAAGTAAGATCCAATGAGTTTTCCATACAGTTCTCAAAATTCTCTGAACTTTGAGGATTTACATCTATGTTTATAATTTTTTAAAAAGAGACAAGGGAGGGCTTCCCTGGTGGCGCAGTGGTTGAGAGTCCGCCTGCCGATGCAGGGGACGCGGGTTCGTGCCCCGGTCCGGGAGGATCCCACGTGCCGCGGAGCGGCTGGGCCCGTGAGCCATGGCCACTGAGCCTGTGCGTCCGGAGCCTGTGCTCCGCAATGGGAGAGGCCACAACAGTGAGAGGCCCACGTACCGCAAAAAAAAAAAAAAAAAAAAAAAATCAAACTGTACATTAAAGTATAAGAGGTAAAAATGTCCTTCTTCTATACTCCCTAAAAGGCCCCCTCCTTAGAGGCGACCAACACTAATAGATGATGCCTTTTTAAGGTTTTTAAACAAAGAGCACTGTACTAAACATACTATCCTACCCCTTGCCTTCTTCACTCAATAGAACATCTTGGCAACCTCGTCATATCAGTTGACAAGTACATAAATCTATCCATTCTTTTTTTTTTTTTTTGCGGTACGCGGGCCTCTCACTGTCGTGGCCTCTCCCGTTGCGGAGCACAGGCTCCGGATGCGCAGGCCCAGTGGCCATGGCTCACGGGCCCAGCCGCTCCGCGGCATGTGGGATCTTCCCGGACTGGGGCATGAACCTGTGTCCCCTGCATCGGCAGTCGGACTCTCAACCACTGCGCCACCAGGGAAGCCCTATCCATTCTTTTAATGAGCTGCATATTATTCCATTGTATGGATGTACATAATTTATTTAACACTTGCTTTTATGAGGACTTTAGGTTGTTTATAGTTTTATGCTCCAAACAGTGCTGAAATGCACAGCCTCTGTACTCACTTTTTCTATAGCTATTAGCATCCGGTCTTGCTTTTTTCACACTTGACCTCATCTGAACGTTCCTACAGAGCATCCCCGTCTATACACTTTTACCATTTTTAACGGCTACTGGGTACTTTCTCATGCCCCTTGATAATGGATCAGTTTTTCTGGCTGCTCCTCCATAATGGGGAATTTTAGTTATTCTAAAATTTTTTGACCATCGGTTTGGGTCACAGCTGCTGGACCCCTCTGGAGCTGTGCTGAGGCCAGAGCACAAAGCCTCCTTTGGAACAGCTACATCTGCTGAGTCTGGCGCCAGACACACGCTGCCCATGCTAATTACAGCTACTCACCAGAGCAAAGAGCAGGAGCAAGGGCGAGAGGATCAGGGCGGTGAATGTATTGGACACCACCGTGGGGGGCCTCTTCTCCGGCTCGCGGAACAGGTGCTGCCAAAAGAAGACAGGCCAGGAATATTTTAAAACGTGCTCTTCCCAGCGGGGGCTGCCATGTATATGTACTAGGAACCAAACGCCAATGACAGTCAAGAAGAGGAAATGCCTCCCAGAGGCTGAAACTTCCTGGCCGTGAGTGGCCACTTAGCCTTTCGCCTCTTCTCAACAGGGGCTTCTGCTTCCAGAGGCCTGCTTCCAAAGACACTACACCAGTTCACTACTCCTGACCAACCCTCTTTTTCCCTCCAAGACATATTGCCATTTAGAGGTTGGAGAATGCAACCTATCAAGCAGCATTTGCCTAGTATCGAAGATGGTGCCCGGGTATCTGGATGGCTGGGGTGACACACCCAAGGCAGGACTCTGGATTTCATAATGCTTCTGGGTTCCTAGGATAGCACTATCATATTTTGCTAACCAACTTAAATTAGCTAACTGGCGTATAATAATTTAAAATTTTCTTGCTTGCCAGTGTCCAGCCAACCCAGCTCCATAACAAGGCAGCTCCTCCACCTGAGACTCCTGTTCCCAACTTTTTAACCTCAGCTCCTCTTTGCTGCCACTGTCATGAAGGGACTTCTAACATTGCCTGTGGCAGTCACTGCTGCCTACTCCAACCCTATAAATCAGTCAGCACCCTCTGTCATCATGCTTATACCTTCCACTATTTAACTGCATTTGACATTCTTAAACGATGCTATAGCAACATTAGGAGGATTTTAAAAAAGAAATCCTACTACTCTAGCTTTTGGGCCCTTGTCCTTTTTCTAACAGTGAAATAAGAGTAAGTGGTCTGCTTGGAACACTTCAACATTAATTCAAATGGGGATTTCCCTGTTACTGCAGTATGATCATTTCTCACGACTGCAAACAGTCCACCGAGTGGCTCTACCTCAGTTTCTTTAACCAGTGCTCAAACTGTTTAATAATTATTGTTTATTTTGTGAACTGCTTCAGAAACTTTTCAAAGCTTTTCTTTTCTTATCTGTGAACTATTTTGATCCTCACAACAGTCCTATGGGCTGGGCTGGGCAGGGATTGCTAATATTTGTATGCAAAGAAAGTGAGTTCCAGGAGAGAGGAAGGGCTTGCCTAGGGGAGAAAAGCCCTGTTCTCCAGTTGAGTTGTCCACCTGTGGGCCCCTGGTCTATGCAGGAGCAGAGAGGAACAAAGCCAAATCCATGTGTGCTGTAGTATCAAGCAGTGATCTGAGGGCTAAACCTCCTGCATGTTTAGGAAAAACAGATTCAGGTTCTGATTTTGTCTCCAACTATCTGTTTTCTGGGAGCTGGTCAGTGGGCAGCTTGAGCCTGTTTTTTCAGCACTAGGATGGGGCTGATATTTGCCCTGACTGATCCACAAGATGGCAAAGACCAAACTATAAAACATCATATAAACAGGTTAAAGAAGGGACCAGAGCCAGTGTCCAGGGGTCTGCTGCCCTCTCTCACTGTGTCCACTTCACATTTCTCTTCAATGTTTAGTGAAGAACTCTTTTGGGATCTACCTGAATTTCCTGTTTGGGGGTGAAAAGGTTCTTGGACAGGACAGTCGACGGAGCATCTTCTTCAGGGAACCTGATGACCACATCAGCCTAAAAAAATAAATGCAGCCATTAAAGGCACAGGGGCAGAGAAGGAGGCGAAACTCATCAGCAGGACAGTATCTCCTAACTCACGTCCAGGACCATAACTGAAAAAAGCTCCAAGCAGTCCAATCACTTCTGATCCATTAGCCGACAAACTGAGGCAGTAAAAATTTCAAGAACAAAATAAGTATTTGTTGAAAATCCTTTTTAGACCAAGAGTTCCAATTTTCTACTGGTCTGGTGAGCCCCACAGAGCTGCCTAATACAAAAATCCCAGCTGGTACTCAGGCTGTTATAGTTGCAATCAGAAACTGCTCCATGTCCCTAGGAAGTATAATTTAGTCTCAGACGCCCCCCCCCCCAAAAAAAAGAAATGAAAATGTGCTCTCATACAAAAAGCAGCCCAAAGTCCAAGAGAAGAAAAGGAGCTTTGAATACAACATAAGAAAATGCAGCTGCCCCTTTGTCTTGCAAAGGGAGCCAACCACTCAAGGCCTGCAGTTTGGCCTCTGCTACCTTTCCAACCTCACCGCCTACTGCTCTGGACCAGATTCAGGTGCTCCAGCAAAATGGACCCAACTCATAACTCACTGAAAGCACCTCAAGCTTTTCTGGAGGCTGTTCCCCCAGCAATCAATCTATAGTCCCCCAGATACTATTCTGATAAACCCCTGCAATTCTTCCCTAGTTCAAATGCCATGTCTTTCAAGCTTTCTCTTAACACACCAGTCAAAAGTGAGTTATGTAAGTGAAACACACTATGTAAACTATTAATACACCTTGTAGTTGTTGGTTATTAGTTAATTAGCATTTTGCATATCCCACAATTCACTGTCCCACACCATCCTGAATTGGAATTGGATTTCAAATCTTAGGCCCCTCCCTGGCCCACACTGTGAGGCCAAGCCATATCTCAAAGCCTTTATCTCATATCTATGTACCCCCCCCATAGTGCTTTGCTGTATTATGAAAACCTTCTTCTACTACAACTTTTATAGAAATTTGCTAGAACCCATGAGGGCAAATCTATGCATCAATCATTCCCTCAATCACTATTTATTAAACCCCTAAGACGTGCCAGGGCGAGGCCAGGGTAGGGAGCCCATGCCCTGGAGAGGAGCTGTCTGTGTCTGACTGCAGCACAGCCACTCTTGCCTGGGTCAAGATACATGGAGGCACATACCACATTCCACAGGATTGGGTTCTTCAAAGTAGCATCTCCGATGATCAAGTAGAGACTGTAGGTGCCGGACGCAGAGTCAAATTCGAGCTTTCTCTCAGAGGTATCCAGTTCAAACTTGTACACGTTCTTGCTGTCCGGCTCCGCAACAAATACCACCTCCTGGCCAGTCTTCTGGTTATGGAGTCGGACAAATGTCTGGATAGAACAATAACGCAACCCTTCATCTGATAATTTCAAAACTCCCTCCGGGCCCAACATCAAATCAACAAGGCAGCAGGCTGTCAGTTCTTTCATCGCAGTGGGAGCTCTGGGATCTGCCAGGCCTGCCCGAGAAAGCAGGAGGAGTGGCCGTCCCACCCTGCTTACTAGCTCAGAGATCAGAGATCACTTTTTGCTAGTATAAGAAATTTAACTTAGGGGTCCAGCCAATTCTCAACGACTTGTAGGCCGAATGCCCAGTTTGTGGATGATTTAAGCCCTTTGCTGTTGCTGTAATTTCTTCTTTCTGCCAGCCTTTTGGCCACTTTGCTGCCCAATTAACTTCTTCACCAGAGGGTGAAAAGAAGGGAAATGAGGTGGAACTTTAAGAAGCTCATTTTCAATTTCCTAGTGCCTCCAGCTGAAGATTTAGGAGAGAAGGCTTGGGGATTGATAGCAAGGCAGAGTTCTAATCGAGCAAAGCAGCCCAGTGTCAGAGAGAGCCTAGCTTGAAGACAAACAGATTTGGTTACACTACTAATTGGCTGAGCAGGTTACTTAACCTCCTTGAGCCTTGATTTCTGCATCTTTAAGATAGAAAGGTTAACTTCTACATGTGGTATATCTATGTCAAGAGTCACAATAATGTAGGCAAAGCATTTAGCGTAGGACCCACTATATACTAGCTAGTCAACAAACATTTATCAATGATGGTATGAGTCTAATCACCTTATCCCCCCAATGGCCTAAGAAACTAAGGTTTCTGCAAATTAGAACTGCAGCAAAACTTAATATCCACTCAGCTTTTCTTTCAAGTGTTTCAAAATAAAGAATTCAACAAAGCAGGTAGATCGGTTCCATTTCACAAATCATGAGGCACGGAGTTTAAATGAGTTGCCATGGTCACAGAGCTAGTGCTGGATCCACAGAAAAAACATAAATCTCATTTGTTACTTTACACCTGGGCAACAAAGAACCACCATCAAAGTATTTAGGGAAAGAGGCCCAGAGCTGTGAAGCCTCCTGACTCCAGCAGTCTTGGCCAAGAATGGGATTTAGAAGCCTGGATGCCTGATATTCCTCCTGTCACAGCCAAGCACAGGCAGCAGCCAGGCTCATCTACAAAATGTCATCTCTACCTAGGAGGTCTGTAAGCCAGGGTTTCCAAAACAGAATCTTGGATGAGATGAGGAGTATTCAGTTAAAAGTTATACTTCCTCACTAACTCTTCCTGCCCTAACCCTAATCCCACCAATTTTGTCTTGTAATTACTTCTCTTCATATTCTGTCTTCCCTTGTGCTGTTTCACTGGCAGATGTCATTCTGAGAAGGAGCTGGGAAGTGCTAAGGGGCTGAAAAGTTAGTCGTGGCTAAGTGGCCTGACCGAGCTCTCTGGAGCTTGGGTGTGGAGGGAGGAGAAGCAGAGAAGGGCCGGGACGGCGGTGCTGGCGGCAGCCACTCTGGGCCTGGGCACAAGCACAGTAGCTGCAGCTACAAGAAACAGAAAGCAAAAAGGTTTCCAAGTTGAGTCCACTCACCTCCATGGTCTGTTTTGAAGCTGCCCCTCAGCATGGACACAAGTCCACTAGCTCTTGCTAAAGTACTGCTACAAAGCACCTAAACCAAGGCCACTAGGTCCCACGTTCTTTCCTATCTTTCCACATTCAAAGTACTTCTCTGAACTTCCCTTTACCATACAACCGTGGATGGGGCAGGGCTCAGAGCAGTTATTCTCAATCAAGTGGGATGACAGAGACAGGAAAGGAGGTGTCTGAGAGGACAAGGGCCATATCAGACTCTCTGGGGAAAAGATACGGTTTGAAAATCTTTTAAATAATAATCATCATTATGTTATATATGGAAAACAGAAATGAAGCCTATTGGTTTCATAACACGAGGGAGGCACAAGTTAAAAAGTGCTAGTTTTCAGATTCCTACAAAATCTGCTTTGGCCAGAACAAAAGCATATTTTGGGCTCACTTCCTAGGTTTTCCTTTTTTCAAAATTATTTTAATATATGTTTTTTAGTCAGAAAGTAAAAAGCCTCAATTAAGTGCTAATCTTCCTTAAATATATCTTTTCTATGCCAGCTAATCTCTTTAAAAGAAGAGTGCATTCCAGGTTCAGGGTTACAACCAGTATAAGAGGGGCAGAGTGTCATGTGGGAGAACCCGAGGGATTGTCAGGGTTCAGAGTGAAGATCTGAAAGCAGGAATTCGGAATTTTCTCGACTCAGTGTTATATATCACGGCAACAACTATCGTGTACATCAATGTTTCAGGCCAAGAGAACCGTCTGCGCTCTTTCCTGACCTGGTGAGGGGTGAGTTCAGCACCAGTGTTCACATCTACCAGCTGGAAGAATAAAGCAAAGTTCTGGTGGCTGTCTGCGATGAATGTGCCCTTGGCTTTGGCTGGGTAGGTCACCCTGAAAGAGACATTTATAAGGTAAGTTTTCAGAAAGGAGGATCTGCAGATCTCTGAGACAAGAGAGAAGAATACAAACTTCACTTCACTGCCTAATCCTCCCTCTCCCAATTGTAACACTTTTCTGTTGTGGACAGAGTGGAGAATTGTCTGTGGCCTGAGGGCAAATTGGATTGATAAGCCAGGACTGAGAAAAGCACAGAATAAACTTTCATCAGGGTCTGGGGAAAATGCTATGCGCAGATGCTCCAGGCTTTCACTTCAAGGACCTAAGGATATCAACTCAACCAAGTCAGGCACCAATGGGGCTCACATGTCCCCATGCAAGCTCACAGGCGGACTGGAGGGCTCTGGCAAAACCACAAGGAGAAAAAAAAAAATCACAGGATCAACGTTAGCAGCATATGTGAGCAGGGTCGGGAGACTAAGAGGTAGGAGACGCAAAGGACAGAAGGGTATGTACAGTTTTTTCTTTTTTTTAATGCTGCATTTTTTTTCCTGGACACCGTTTCAATTTATTTTTCTGCCTGAAATTGAGCTTTAAAAAGTCATTCTCTCAAAAGGCAGGCTTGATGAGAAAACTGTTCTTTTCACAGCTATCTCCTGGGACTTTAGATTAAGATGGCCAGGGGGTAAAAAACAAGCCAAGTGATTACAGAGCTCACAAGCGCCACGTTTCATGTTTAGGCTTTATATTTACTTATGAGTAATGCCAACTCTTTATCTATGTAGAGTATTAAACTTTGCAAAGCACTCTTACAGACATTATTTCAGTGGATTCTCAACAGTGCTCTCATTTCCAATGTCACTATAAAAATATCCAAGCCAGAGGCAGAAAGCCTAGCCCTTCCACGTGACTTAAAAGGAATGAATGAATGCTTAGCTTCTAGTCTCTGGCTAATATCCCATCTTCAAAACAGCCTCGAAGGTTCCCCTACTTTCTTTGGCATCTATAGCCACCCCAGTTGAGTAAATTTGGGGTCTGAACTACACCCAGATGTCTAGATGCCCCCTCCACCCACACCGAATGAGGATCTGGGAGAGAGCTGAGAAATGGCTTCGTACAAGGTTCTGGCCCAACTCCGATCAATTACTAATGGTTACCTAGAAGTCTGTGTTAAAAAACATTCTGAAATACTTCCCTGGAAGTTCAGTGGTTAAGACTCTGTGCTCCCAATGCAAGGGGCACGGGTTCGATCCCTGGTTGGGGAACTAAGATCCCACACGCCACATGGCGCGGCCAAAAAAAAAAAAAAAAAGATTCTGAGTTCAGCAGGAACAAATGCTGTGACTGATCAGTGATGCCCTCCATGGACTTGAGAAAGGGACTCACAGCCCTAGCGCTGGGTATCTGCCATCTCACTTCTAAGGACCTGCGAGACGTACAACTGATTTCAGGCTCACTGTGGGCCAAAGAGAGTGGACGTGAGGCCCCTAAAAGCAAGTTCAAGACTGTGAAGATAAAGAGATGACATCAGAAAGTAAGTTAATACACTGCTTCCTCCATTAAGAAAGTCTTGTTTTAGGGAATTCCCCGGTGATCCAGTGGTTAAGACTCTGCACTTTCATTATCAAAGGTAAGGGTTAGATCCCTGGTTGGGGACCTAAGATCCCACAAGCCATGCAATGCGGCCAAAAAAAAAAAAAAACCCCAAAGAAAGTCTTGTTTTAAAAAGAAGCGACATCTGAACTAAATAATGTACTTGGTAGCACAGTTGACTGACGCAGACTTACATTCTGAGGTAAGCTCCTTGCCTCGCTGTGGACTGTTAATAAACAGCTTGCTCAGGGACTGATCACTGATATAGACAACCCCCAAATTTGTCTGGATGCCAAGCAGCACCCCTGATGCAGTGCCAGAGGAATGACAGCCTCTTTCATCTGGAGTACAAGCTGGGTCACTGCTGACACAGAAATGACATCTGAAGGGGCTCGGTGCCTAGGCATGCTCCTCCCAGCTCAAGCCTGGATTCTCCCTGTACCCAGGAGGCATCCCACCTACCGCGTGGTTTTGGGTGCAATGCTCTGATCCTTATCCACAGTGGAGAGATCGACATTTGTGATGCCAACTTCAGTGGAAATCTTGACTCTGAGCTAGGGTGAAACACAGAAGAAAATCGCCAAGTCAGCTGGTGAGTATACCAGGAATTAATATACATATCCAAATTTTTCTCTTACTTGTGAGTAAAGGCATGAAAATAATCCTAGGACAGGAGTCTTCAATGATTTTAGTAAAACTGACCCATCCCCGTAGTATTTCTACCTCTTCCATCTTGAGGCCTAAAAGTAACTCCTTGATTCTTATCCCTTCTTCCTTTCTCTGGCCTTGACTGAATGGTATATATTAAAAAAGAAACAAAAATAAAAAAAGTAGGTATCTTCATGTGTACTTTAAAATAAATAAGGGAGAAACTCCTTCAGTAGTAAACTTCAAATAATTTAAATCAACAAGTACTCAATTCTAATGACAGCTAATGTTTATTGAGTGTTTACTATGTGAAAGACACTGGCCTTCTAAAGATTATCTCATTTAATCCTCACCACAACTCTAAGGTAGTGCTATTTCAGATGAGGAAATTGAAGATTAGAGCAATGAAGCCATTCACTCAAGTTCAGATAGCTAGTAAGGCAGAGCCAGGGTTCAGGCTCAGGCATCCTGACTTAGAGTCCACGTTCTTAGGCACCTTCCTGTCCAACTTCCCAGCCAACACTTAAGTTTGTGCCAAGCAGACTATAGGTCTGCCCAAGAAGATTTAAGAAGCTATGGCAGTCATCTCTGCCATCCACCAAGTACTTCTGCTTCTCCTTCTGAGCATGTGGCAGAAATGTACTTCCCTGCCCTCCTGGAGTCAGGTATGGCCATGTGACTGGCTCTGGCCAGAAGCGTGTCACTTCCAAGTGGAAGCTTAAGAGTCGGTTTGTGATTCTCTTCTCCTCTGACATGGACATAGACGACCTACAAAGGAGCTTGCTACTTCAGCCTGGGTCCTGGAGTAAGGGCAACGTGAAGCAGAGTCTCCAGCTGACACATTAAAGATACCTTGCATGGGCAAAAAAGAAACTTGTTTTAAGCCCCTGAGATTTGGAGTTTGTTACAAGCACAAACCAGTCCATCTTAACTCTTAGGTTGCTTAAATTCTATACGTTCCCTATAAACATTTTCACAAAGAGGGGCCAGCCAATGCTAGTAAACAAGAAATTTTTAAAAATTAGATTAAAATAAACATAAAATTCCAAAAGAGACAGAAAACATGCTAAAAGTCTACCTCAAGGGAAATTTTTTATTTTTTTATTTAAATTTTTTATTTAAAATCTAAGTTTGAATGTGCAAATTATGCAATCCCAAGGCACTTTTAATGTGTAAACATATCTGTGAGACTTCCAAATATTTGATAAGCTTGAATGTAATGCTTAAAGAGATCCTTGCCACATACACTGGTTTACAGTCTAAGTTAGGATCAAGGAATAGAGACAGAAGGCTGGGCAAATAATTGAAGGAGAGCTTCAGCATTTTTCTGAAGTGCACTATCAAGGTGTGAGAACCTCAAATCAAGGGCAAAGAAGAAAAATTTAAAAGAGATAAAGATAGCGATCAAGTAATTCCTTTTAACAGCCTCCATAATAACTATTTTGTGACAACAACCTCAATTATCAGGTTGAATAGGGGTGTTCTGTTTTGCTTAAAAAAAAAAAACAAAAACCCTAAATGTAAAAGATTACCAAAGGCTATAAGCATATTATTACCTCCTACTTTTGAATACACAGCTGCCTATTGGCAGAATTATATTTAGCATCATAGCTTGTCACTGAATCTAGGCAACTGGGTGAACTACAGTGGGGGGTGGGGGAGGGAGGGGGAACAAATGGCCTTCAAGTTGAATAAACCACCAAGGAGAGAGCTGGTATCCTCCACTTTGGCTCTTGGGCGCTCTGCTGAACAAACAGCTTCACAACTCATACAGGGCTTGGAACCAGAGCCAACTTTGCTGTTATAAAGCTCAACCCAGAGAGGCACTAACAGCACTTCCATTTGAAGAAAAACTGGAATGGAAGGCTCAAGCAAAGAAGTAGCCAAAGAGCTTTGATTTTTAGCAAGACACCCCACTGAGACCACTTCCCTATATCCCCCTAGAGCATCTGGAACACCTAGGTGCAGGGACAGACAGAGATGGCAAGATGCACTTCCTGTCCTAAAGGGAAGCATAAAGGCAAAGCTAAATTATAACAGACCAGGCTGCTGCTTTAATGCAGGGATGGACAAAGTGCTATGGAAGCACAGCAGAAGGAACTGTGACCCAAGTCGGCCTCAGGCAGCCCTTGTTTGGGGAGTGGGAAATGTGTAGCAGGAGGGCTTAGGCAGTCCTCCGGTTTCAGGAGAAGCATGAGTTTAGCAATACTCCATGCTATAAAAATAATCTGTTTTCACGGGTAATTACTCTGCAATCTTCATCACCATTAACTAGGTAATTCCCTCTTCACTTCTGCGACTCATTCTCTTAAGGACTCACTCATTTAATTTGTGTGATTTTAAAATCATCATCCCACCTAAATGTCCATAAAGAGGAGACTAGTTAGAGAAATAATGATATACACACATACACTTTGAACTGCTATGGAGCAATTAAAAAGAACAACGTAGGTGTCTATGGAGACCACCTCCTACTTTTGAATACACAGCCATCTATTGGCAGAATTATATTTAACATCGCCTGTCACTGAGTCCAGGCAACTGGGTGAATTATGGCAGGGGAGTGGGGGGGTGAGGGGTGGGGGGAGGCCATCAAGTTGAATAGACCCCAAGGGGAAAGCTGGGAACCTCTACTTTGTAACAAAAGCAAAGAATACAACTGTTCATAGAATGATTACTTTTGTGTAAATAAGAAAGGATATGCATACATTCAATGATATGGGCATCCTTCTTTTTCAAAGTATATACAGTTAACTGTTACTAATGGATTCCTCTAAGGCAGCGGGTCCCCAACCATTTGGCACCAGGGACCAGTTTCATGGAAGACAATTTTTCCACGGATGGGGGTGGGGGTGGGGGTGGGGGAGTGGGCGGGTGGATGGCGTGGCTCAGGCAGTAATGTGAATGATGGGGAGCGGCAGATGAAGCCTGGCTTGCTTGCTGGTCAGCCGCTCACCTCCTGCTGTGCGGCCTGGCTCCTAACAGGCCGCGGAGTGGTACTGGCGGCTGGGGACCCCTGCTCAAAGGAGAGGGACTGGACTGAAGGGATGAGAGAAGGCTCTAATGTTTCATTATATACCTTTTTGTAGTTTGAATTTTTTTAACTACATGCATATTTTACTCCTATTTTTTTTTAAATAGGGATTGGGACTTCCCAGGTGGCACAGTGGTTAAGAATCTGCCTGCCAATGCAGGGGACACAGGTTCAAGCCCTGGTCCGGGAAGATCCCACATGCCACGGAGCAACTAAGCCCATGCGCCACAACTACTGAGCCTGTACTCTAGAGTCCGTGTGTCAAAACTACTGAAGCCCGAGCGCCTAGAGCCCATGCTCCACAACAAGGGAAGCCACTGCAATGAGAAGCCCGCACACTGCAACAAAGAGTAGCCCCTGCTTGCCGCAACTAGAGAAAGCCCGTGCACAGCAGTGAAGACCCAACACAGCCAAAAAATAATAATAAATAAATAAATAAAAATAAAATAGGGATTATCTGAGCATTTGCATTGTGTGACAAATACTTTCTTCTTTATAAACGATTCTGTATTAAAAAGTACCACTCAGGGACTTCCCTTGTGGTCCAGCGGTTGAGACTCTAGGCTTCCAATGCTGGGGACACAGGTTCGATCCCCGGTGAGGGAACTAAGATCCCACATGCCATGCAGTACGGCCAAAAAAAAAAAAGTACCACCCAATAAATATGATTTAAAAGACAATCACTCTCCCCTTCAACAGATGAATAAACACAAACATGTTAAAAGGCTTGTGTAAGGCTCCTCAGTGTATCCTAATTATAGTGATAAGGAAGCCATCAACTTGTGGGTTTTTACTTAGAATCCTGACTATAAACTTACAATAATAACACGGTCACTAAAGTCTGCTAATCAAGATTCAACTGTATGTTTGTTCTGAAGACATTATAAGCATTCACAGTACAGACACATGGAATAATGAAAGGGCAAACTGCAGTGAACTCAAGTCATTTTGGGTTTGCTCTCAGCCCTAATTTTAAAAGGCCTCCTAAGTTACAGCTTTCTGTGTTGCACAGAAACACCGTAGGGCTGTTCTTAAATAAGGAACCATTTAAAACAAGTTCTTCCACTCCTAAAATCTTATCACAAATGGGTCTCTGGAAACACTGAAAAGAAAAGTATTTTTATGCTACTCTCTTAAATTGAGGTTTTTTCAAAACCCTGTTGTAAAGAGTTCAGAGTAGGATCCCTGTTGGTTAGCTGCTTCTTCCTTCAAACTAACACTGCAGGATTAGTTTTTATAATAAGAAAGGGACTTGTTTAGCCACTTTAAATGCAGCTAAGCCTGCTTTACAGTGAATCAACTAGTCCTTCTTTTGCCTGTACTGCACGCCACATACACCTCAAAAAATGTTTTAACACCAGGAAATGCAGTCTTTCTGCTGAGAGTAATAACCTCCCTGTTTAGCTCATTACTGTCAAAAATGATGGTGCATTAGGGGCAATTAATGCTAATGACAGCTTCTAAAACCCATGCTTCCTCTGACAGCAAGTCCAATGTCAATGAGTGCTATTACAGGCCCTCCACACCAAACCACCATTAATGCACTCTGACCAATGTCAAGCATCTCCCAGGAGAGTAAACAGGACCTGCTGACCCTCTCTGAGGCTCTAAGCATGACTATTACTGAAATTACAAAGTAAAGTTGCATATGTGACAGAGGTCAGAGCATGCACGTGCACATAGGCAGGCACACACACACAAACACATGCACACACACACATAAAGCTTAACATAATGAGGAGAGATCTTTAACGCTTACTCCATCACTGGGAAGGAAAAGGACAGCAATGGCCTCTATGGGAGCTTACTATCATTGCATGAGTAACAGCTATTAGCCATTTCTGTTACTTTGTACTTATTTAATTTTTCCAA